AATAAATAAATAAATAAAATTTAAAAAAAAAAAAAAGGCTAAGCAACTCAGCAGGAGAATGCTGGCTCACCGGGGAGAGTATGAAGGATGCTGTCCCTTCGCATCTGAAGGCTATGTTCTATTACTTCATTGTCATTTCTTACATGCCATCTAATTTTGCTCGCACAGAAAAATGCCAGGACGCAATTGTTAATGGAGTCTGGGATCGCAGGTCTTTCCCTCGGCTACCAAGTTAATATAATGCCTAGAATCAGAGGGAAGAAATTGGATAGCTGTGTCATCGGGTTCCAGCCGGCTGTGAGTCACCCCATCCCTCCTAAGGAGTATGTCCTCCACATGCAGCTGACACTTGAGCCCTCCCTTAAGTGGGTTTCTTAATTGTCTTTTCCCTCCTGCTTGATGTGAAAATATTATTCTCCTCCTAACCCCGTCTGACTCACTGATCCAAGGGCCCAGACTGACTGCTCTGCAATCTGCGAGGTGGCAGGTGCTTTTGGAACTGAGTTTCTGCCTCATTTTCCCATGAGGAAACAGCTCCAGCGGTGGGTGGCCAGCAACAGGGCCCGGGCCACCTTCCCAACCTAGTGCACTCACCCCATTTGTCAACACAGTGTTGGATGTCGGCTTAGAGGTGACTTCCCTTCAGGCTGAGATTCTCTGATTGTCCCTCTTTGATTCAGAGAACACTCAGCCCAACGCCCCCCCCCCCACTACTGTCAGTTCATTCAATTGTCCACTGGAGCTGGCCTCCCTTCCTTCCTTCCTTTCTTTCTTTCTTTCTTTCTTTCTTTCTTTCTTTCTTTCTTTCTTTCTTTCTTTCTTTCTTTCTCTTTCTTTCTCTTTTTTCTGTACCGGGGATTAAACTCAGGACCCTGCGCTTGCTATGCAGGCACTTATTCCACTGAGCTACCTTCCCAGCCCTTGTTTTCTTTTTTCTTTTCTTTCTTTCTTTTTGACAGAAAAAATAAGATGGCTTTCTTTCTTTTTTTTTTTCTATGTGAATTTTATTTTTTAAATTAATTTTATTGGTACACTTTAGATTAATTTATTAGAACATATTCATCATAAAGAACTTGTACCTATACATGATATGTCTTGATTCTCTTTTTTTCCCATCCCCCTCCAGTCCCTTCAACCCTTCTATCCCTCCTTTTTTTTTTTTTTTTTTCAGAACCAGGGATCGAATTCAGGCCCTTACACTTGCCAGGAAAGCACTTATTCTACTGAGCTATCTCCCCAACCTCCCTCCTTCTTTACAAAAGCTTTGTTTCCATTTTTTCTTCTATTCTTTTTCTTCCTTTTCCCTCCCCATCTTATTCCTCTTTCCATTTGAACCTTTTCTTCCTCTTTCCCAGTATCTACCATCTGTTTTGGTCATTACTTGTACTTTCAGTTTCTTACCCAAGAGAAACAATGTGGTATTTAAACCTGTGTGTCCAATTTATTTCACTAAAACTATGGTCTTAAGGTCCATCTGTCTCAGTTACTCTTCTCTTGTTGCTGGGACAAGTAACCAACCCACAAAATGAAGGAAGGAAAGGTTTATTTAGCTCACAGCTTATGGAGGTTTCACTCTATACTCAGCTGGCCCCAAGGCAGAGTGGCAGATGGCACAGAAGGCCACCATTCATGGTGGCAAAGAGCAAAGGCAGGAGGAGCAGCTCCAGCAGCTAGCCAGCCTCTCTCCCCTCCTTACATTGCAATGCAAATCACCTGCCCCAGGGCAGATGCAGCACCCACACCCACAATAATCAATCACAAACTCCAGAAGGGCCCTATGTCTGCCTGAGGCTTTGGGGGGACACCTGGGCACAAACCATAACACCATCCACATACTTTATCCTTCCTTATGGCAGAGTAGTACTCCATTGGATACAAAAACCATGTTTTCTTTATCCATTCATCCAGTGATAGACATCTGGCTGTTTCAGAGATTTAGCTATTACAAGCTGTGCTGCTGTAAACATTGGTATGCTCGGATCACTGTGGTGTGATGCTTTTTACTCTATCAGGAAGATAAATGCAACCTTTAGTTTCCGTTTTTTCAGGAATCTGCATGCTGATTTATTTTCCTATTACTTGCATCAATGATTTATTTTCCTATTAGTTGCATCAATTACTTCCACCAACAGTGGAGAAATGTTCCTCTAGATAAACTGTTAAATTGCCCCGTAGGCAGTCCTCCTGCCTCGGCCTCCCAGAGTGCTGAGATGACAGGCATGTGTCGCTTCACAGGACAGAAGCTCACTACTGAGGGTTCAATAAGGATGAAAAGCAGGCGGCTCTAGACTGACTTTCTTAAATATGAGTTCAGATAATGAAAGTAATTTTATTTTAATTATTTTTTTGGGAAGTGGGGGGGTGGGCATGTGTGTTTATCCCCTGTGCAGGTGACCTACAACGAGAACCACACAAAGCCGTAGCTGGCGTTGAAAATCTCCGGTGTGCAGAGCACATACAGCTCACCGAGGCCTGGGGGCACCCAGCGCGTGGCGTGGGACGTGGACTCGCCCACCCTCCAGCCTGGCACATCCTTCATGATTACGGCCTCTTCCTCCAGGTTCTCGCGTATCATCAGCAGGACCCTGCGGCCCGGCTGGGCCTGGAAGGCGGCATCGTCGCGACGCGGGCCTCCATTTCCTCGATCTGCAGGCGCCTGCGCTTGCGATTCCACTTCATCATGCTCCAGTACCCGTAGTGCAAGGTTCCGAGGCCCACAGCGAACATGCTGTAGCCGGACGGTCCTCGGGGCCATAGCCCCTTGGCGGGGGCGTGTCCTGCTTCACCTTCGCTGATGCCATCCTTGCAGAGTAATTTTAAAATATATTCTATTAGTGCTTATTAAATGAGTTTCCACGTGGCCTTTTCATGCATACGTGTAACACATCTTGATCATATCCAGTGATCACCCTCCCTTATGCCCACCCCTCTACTCTCTTCCACTTTTCTTTCTTTTTTTTTTTTTTTTGGTGGAACCGGGGATTGAACTCAGGCCCTTGCGCTTGCCAGGGAAGCGCTTATTCCACTGAGCCATCTCCCCGGCCCCTTCTGCTTTTCTAACAATAGTTCCCCTTCTACTTTCTTGACATTTTTAAAGATTCTGTATATTATGAGAAACAGTGCAATATTTGTCCTTGCGAGTTTGGCTTGTTTTGTTTAACATGACTAGCCTTCCGTCCAATTCATGTTCCTGCAAATGACATTTTATTCTTCATTTCTGGCCAAATACCACTCCACTGGGTATATATGCCATATTTTCTGTATCCATTCATCTGTCATTGGACACTAAGCCTGGCTCCATATCTTAGCTATTTCAACTTGGGTCATAGTAAACGTGGGTGTGCAGTTAACGCTGCATGCTGAATGTAATTCTTCCAGGTATATGCCAAGGAGCGGCAGAAGCTGGCTGATCCGCTAACTCTAATTTTAGTTTTTGGAGGAACTTCCACACAGATTCAATGAAAGTAATCTGAAGAAGCTTCAGCTCTCCAGAAATTTGGACCCTCCAGAGTGCACCCCGTTTCTCAAGTGCCACAGTGATTTAGGATAAACTTAAGATCCGTCAGATCTGTGGCCATATGAACTCCAGTTCACAAAGAA